TGGTTATTTCTGCTGATTTGTGTTTATGTGGTCCTGGCTCCTCGTATGTAGAAATAATTTGAGGCCTGGGATGATATTGTCTTCCTCCAGAGAGGATTTATGTTTACTTCTTCCAGGCACCTGGGGCCACCAGCAATCAAGGATCACCTTAATCCAGTACCAAGGATTGAGTTTTGTTTTTTTTTTTCAGACAGAGTTTCATTGGTTACCCAGGCTGGAGTGCAATGGCGCGATCTCGGCTCACCGCAACCTCCGCCTCCTGGGTTCAGGCAATTCTCCTGCCTCAGCCTCCTGAGTAGCTGGGATTACAGGCACGCACCACCATGCCCAGCTAATTTTTTGTATTTTTAGTAGAGACGGGGTTTCACCATGTTGACCAGGATGGTCTCGATGTCTTGACCTCGTGATCCACCCGCCTCAGCCTCCCAAAGTGCTGGGATTACAGGCATGAGCCACTGCCCCTGGCCCTGGCCAGCTTTTCTAGTTGACCTCAGCAGGAGACTGCATTTGTCCTTAGTAGCTAACCCACTATTGTGCAAGCCAAAATCTACCAAGAGAGATTTTTTTTTTTTGAGACGGAGTTTCACTCTTGTTACCCAGGCTGGAGTGCAATGGCATGATCTCGGCTCACCGCAACCTCCGCCTCCTGGGTTCAGGCAATTCTCCTGCCTCAGCCTCCCGAGTAGCTGGGATTACAGGCACGCGCCACCGTGTCCAGCTAATTTTTGTATTTTTAGTAGAGACGGGGTTTCACCATGTTGGCCAGGATGGTCTCGATCTCTTGACCTCGTGATCCACCCGCCTCGGCCTCCCAAAGTGCTGCGATGACAGGCGTGAGCCACTGCGCCCGGCCCCAAGAGAGATTTTAACCCAAAGTCCAAGTCGTTTAGAAGGAGGTCGTGGATATTCTAGGTCATCTTGATCGCAGAGCTGCAGGATGACAAATGAGACCCATCCTCAGCTCAGAGAGGAGCCCTCTGATTTTCCACTTGAGGAAGCCAAGACCCAAACCAGCAGCAGAGCCGGGATTCAAGCCCTGGGCTTTCCCCAGGCACCAGCTCTGCGTTCCTTCTTCAGGGACAGGTGGCCGCCTGTATCCCTTGAATGAGATCCCTGGAAATGACCTCACCTCTCCCTGAAACCTGAAAGTTCTGTCAATTCAGCAAGAGGTCGATGCAACTCACAGTCCCCAGAGGCCCTTCCGTCCCTCATCAAGTCCATAAATGACACGGAAGTGATGTAAGCATGACTGGCCACAGGAGGCTTTTGGAAGCAATCACAGACTTTACAAGACTCTCTTCTGGCCTTTAAGTCTCAAAAGAAGAAGGGCTTGGCCCAAGCTCCTGCTTTCAGTTCAATAACACGTATGAAAATGACCTGGGCACAGGTCACGCCTGTAATCCCAGCACTTCGGGAGGCCGAGGTGGGCAGATCACCTGAGGTCGGGAGTTCGAGACCAGCCTCACCAACCTGGAAGAACCCCATCTCTACTAAAAATACAAAAATTAGCCGGCGTGGGGACACATGCCTGTGAGCCCAGCTACTTGGGAGTCTGAGGCAGGAGAATCACTTGAACCCAGGAGGCGGAGGTTTCAGTGAGCTGAGATCATGACACGAAAATGGCCGGCGGGGCTGTTGCAGTTCCCAGCTGCACCCCAGCCTCAGGGCAGGGCAGGGGAGTGGCAGCAGGGTGCAAGTCCATGGGGGCTGAGATTTCTCAAGGGCTCCCGGCAAACCAGCCCCTCCACATTCGCTGGGTGCAGGGTGTCCCCGCCACCTTGTCTTCCCAGCAGCTGTGTTTATACTTGGCATTTGCCCCAGGTCCCTAGAAGAGGGCCCTCTCCTTGGCTGCCAGACTCTAGTCCCAGCTACTCGGAAGGCTGAGGCAGGAGAACCACTTGAACCCGGGAGGCGGAGGTTGCAGTGAGCCGAGATCACACCAGTGCACTCCAGCCTGGGCGACAGAGTGAGATTCCATCTAAAAAAAAAGAAAAAACTCGAGTGTTCGGTTTTATTCTAACTTTTAACTCTTACACATAACACAGTTATAAACACCTTTCTATATGTAGCTTTTTATTTCTTTGCATTTTCTTTCCCTGGGGATACCTGCCAGCTGTAGAGGTGAAGGGCCGCAGCTCCCCGGTGACTCCTGTGCCCCCACCGCCCTCCCTGCCCTGCTGCCAGCTCCTCTCCTGTGGCTTCGCTCACCCCTGTGCACCGGAGCCTTGGGTCTCAGAAGCCCAGATCTGCTCACTCTCCCTTCAGCAACCACAGATTCCCAACTCTGCCCTGGGGTGGGGGCACCCTCATCCTTCTTGACGCTCAGGCACGAGTGGGATTTTTCTACACTAGGCGGGCTTAGACTCGTGGCTATGAACCTTTTGCTGGAGGCCAGCTCAGGGCCCAGCAGTGTCCCTCTTCAGTTTTATTTTTGGAGAACCTCACCTGGAGTCATGCCTCGAGCTTTGCCTCCCTGAAGGGCCTGTGCACCGAGGCAGGGCTGACCCTCAGGACGGGACTGCAGGGACTCTGTGCAGCTCTGACCACCTCCTACAGCTTCCCCGGGCCCCCAGGCAAGTGCGTTCAGGTGGGGGTGCCAGGCACACCGTGCCTCTGCAGGGAGGCCGCTGGGACGGGCGTTCCTGGCTGACTCAGCGCGTGGCCAGCTCTGCTGGTGTTGGCTGAGTCCTCAGCTGTGGCATGGCTGCTCCTGAGTCACTGTGGGCTGGTGACACCCACCGAGATGAGGACGTGGGGAGGCGGCTGCATGGGTGATGCAATCTGTGTCTGAGCCTCGGCTTCTCAGTGCGGGCATACACATGCACACACACACTTGCAGACACGTACACACCCACTATGCACATATGCCCACAGGGACATATACACATACCCACACGTGTGCACACACATGGACACACCAGTAGCAACATACGTGCCCGCACACATATGCAGTGACACGCCCACCCTCATGCAGACACACGTACACACCCATGCACGCACATATGCACACACCAGTGACATGTACATATGCCCACACACGTGCAGACACATGCACACACCCATAGCAACATGCATGCCCACACGTGCACACACATGCACAGTGACATGCATGCCCTCACACATACACCTATGCACACACTCATGCAGACAGGTACACATAGATACACATATGTACATATGCACATGCATTCATATAAACACAGGTGGACATGTCCCATATGTTCATGTACACAGATGCACACCCATGCGTACACATGCACCTGTGCACACACACGCAGATATGTGTGTACACACATACACATGCACACTCGTGGATGCTAGCATGCACATATGCACACATGCAAGGTACACACAGGTGCACACACATGCAGACACATGTACACACCCATGTGTGCATATATGTATACACCCAGTGACCTATAGGCTCACACATGTGCACACATGCAGGCACACATGTACATGCCACACCTGCACATATGTACTCACCCCAGTGACTTGCACATGCCCACACACGTGCACGCACACACACCTATAGCAACATGTGCCAACACACATGAGTGCACACATGTGCACAGTAACATGAGCATGCACACATGTCTGTACACACCCATGCACGCACATATGCACACATCCACAATGACATGTACATGTGCCCACACATGTGCACACACATGTACACACCCATAGTGACACATGCACATGCACATATGTACAGTGACATGCCCGTGCAGGTGCATGCACATACATATGCAGTGACATGCTCCCACGCCTGTGCACATATATACATGTGCACGCTGACATGCAAGCCCACATACGCATCTATGCGCACACTCATGCAGGCACGTACACATAGACACAGGCGTGTGCACATATGTTCCTGTACACAGATGCACACACTCATGCATGCTGACATGCATACACGTGTACACGTGCACACATGCACAGGTATGTGTGTACAAATATGCACACTTGTGCATGCGAGCATAAATGTGTGCACACACATGAACCTACAAGGTACACATACAAACGTGTGCACGCACATGCAGATACATATGTACACAGTGCCATGCACACCACGTGTACATACACAGCCACGCATACATGTACAGTCATGTGCACATTGACATACACAAAAATACAAAAACATAGTAACACATGCACACACACACACACACACACACACACACACACACATAGAGCGCAGCCCTCTGTGGCCTTTCTGGCAGGCTGGAGTTTTCCGCAGTCCAAAGGGAGCCTCTCTCAGGGAATTTTGTCCAGAACAGAAAAGGCAGCGAGACTCAGGTCCTGATGCTCACGTGGAAATGTGGGGGGGTGGGGGGCGGCCTGGGGCAGTGGCTGCCCAGGGTGTGTGTGGACGCTGTGACTGTGGATGTGAAATAGGACCCCCCTGGCCTTCCAAGGAAAACAGGAGGTGGGGCCAAGCCGTTTGTTCTCTCTGTGCTCATATTTTTAGCACTGAGTAATTTAGGTATTTTTAAGCTGAACCAAGGGCAGTTTTCCCTGAGCTGGACGTTTTGTGGCTGCTTTGAAGCTTTGTGGAATGGGAGCCCTCTGGGCGGCCACACGTGGGCTCTGCCTCTACAGCAGACAGATTGGGCCTTCTCTGCCCCCAAAAAGTGGGGGCGGGACGTCTGCTGGAAACCAAGGCGGCTGGGCGGTGTCAAAGGGATTTTTTTTTAATTGACCCTTTTATTGAGATTGCGGTGGAGTCCCATCCAGTGCTAAGAAAGCGTGCAGAGGAGTTCTGTGTCATTCCCCGGCCGTGCCTGGTGGTCACATTTGGTAAAGCTGTGGGCAGGATCACAGCCAGCCAGTCACACATTCCTGGCCTCGCTCGGGAGCTGCCGTGTTCAGTGTTCACTGGTGTGTGAGTGTGTGAGGCTCTCTGTGAGTTCATCACTGTGTAGGCCTGTGGCTTCATCGCCGTCGCTGAGGCACTAACAGGGCTCAGTTGCCCTTTTATTTACTTATTTATTCAGAGATGGGGTCTCACTGAGTTGCCCAGTCTGGCCTCAACTTCCCACCTCAGCCTCCCAAGTAGCTGGGACCACAGGAGTACGCCACCCACGCCCAGGTAATTTTCAAATTTTTTATAGAGAGTGTCTTGCTGTGTTGCCCAGGCTGGTTTCAAACTCCTGGACTCATGTCCAGCCTCCCAAAGTGCTGGGATTACAGGTAAGAGCCATCTCGCCAGGCGCGGTGGCTCATGCCTGTAATCCCAGCACTTTGGGAGACCAAGGTGGGCTGATCACTTGAGACCAGGAGTTCGAAACCAGCCCGGCCAACATGGTGAAACCCCGTCTCTACCAAAAATACAGACATTAGCTGGGCGTGGTGGCACATGCACCTGTAATCCCAACACTTTGGGAGACCAAGGTGGGCTGATCACGAGGTCAGGAGTTCAAGACCAGCCTGGCCATTATGGTGAAACCCCATTTTTTTTTTTTTTTTTTTGAGACGGAGTTTCGCTCTTGTTACCCAGGCTGGAGTGCAATGGCGCGATCTCGGCTCACCACAACCTCCGCCTCCTGGGTTCAGGCAATTCTCCTGCCTCAGCCTCCCGAGTAGCTGGGATTACAGGCATGCGCCACCATGCCCAGCTAATTTTTTGTATTTTTAGTAGAGACGGGGTTTCACCTTGTTGACCAGGATGGTCTCGATCTCTTGATCAAGATCCACCCACCTCGGCCTCCCAAAGTGCTGGGATTACAGGCTTGAGCCACCGCACCCGGCCAAAACCCCATCTTAAAAAAAAAAAAAAAAAAGAAAGAAAGAAAAGAAAAAGAAAAAAATATATTCTGGTAGAAATAGCCATCATGTCAACAGTGATTATATTAAGTAGGGAATTATGGGAGACACTTTTTTCCTTTTCTATATTTTACTAATTATCTCAACAGTGGTTGCTTATACGTTTTATACTAAAATAGGTTTTAAAATTTTTGCAACATGGAAGGTAATACTTTTTTTTTTTTGAGACGGAGTCTCGCTCTGTCGCTCAGGCTGGAGCACAGTGGCTCGATCTCTGCTCACTGCAACCTCCGCCTCCTGGGTTCAAGTGATTCTTCCGCCTCAGCCTCCCAAGTAGCTGGGACTACAGGTGCATGCCAAACGCCCGGCTAATTTTTGTATTTTTAGTAGAGACGGGGTTTCACCATGTTGGCCAGGCTGGTCTCGATCTCTTGACCTCGTGATCCACCCGCCTCAGCCTCCCAAAGTGCTGGGGTTACAGGCCTGAGCCACCGCACCCGGCCAGTTATACTTCTTTATGTACTAAAAACAAAAAAGAGGCCGGAGCGGGGCTTTGATCCACATCCCTCTGCTTCCCCCACAGCTCTCTGGACGCCGGGGGCCCGGAGCTGATGGCAGACAATGTCAGCCACTAACAACATAGCCCAGGCCCGGAAGCTGGTGGAACAGCTGCGTATCGAAGCCGGGATCGAGCGCATCAAGGTGAGCCCGGCGTGCGCCAGGAGGAGGCGGGGAGCAGCCCGTGGGTGCCCAGCAAATGGTGGGGAGGAGGCTCAGTGGGAGGGCACAGGTTTGCACCACGGCTGTGCCTCTTGCTGTGTGACCTTGGGGCCGGCCCTCAACCTCTCTGAGCCTCCGTTTCCTCTGCAGAAAGAGGCGGCCAATCTCGTGGGTTCGTGCAGCAATGTACCGTGCTTTGTAAACGCGCTGAGCCCCGTGGAGAGGAGCGTTTTTTCTCCCTTGTCGGCGTGGCTCTGTCCAGATCCTCGGCTATGACGGACGAGGATGAAACAGAGACACAGTCCCAGGCGGGAGGAGACAGAGTGCGCTCTACTTGTTTCACTTCTGGGTCATTGGGAGTTTTTGAAAAAGATCACGCTTGAGGCCGGCGCGGTGGCTCAGGCCTGTAATCCCAGCACTCTGGGAGGCCGAGGCAGGTGGATCACCTGAGGTCAGGAGTTGAAGAGCAGCCTGGCCAACATGGAGAAACCCCGTCTCTACTGAAAATACAAAAATTAGCCGGGTGTGGTGGTGCGCGCCTGTAATCCCAGCTACTCGGGAGGCTGAGGAAGGAGAGTCACTTGAACCAGGGAGATGGGGGTTGCTGTGAGCTGAGGTTACCCCACTGCACTGCAGCCTGGGGACAAAGTGAGAATCTATCTCAAAAAATGATAATAATAAGCCGGGCGCGGTGGCTCAAGCCTGTAATCCCAGCACTTTGGGAGGCCGAGGCGGGTGGATCACGAGGTCAAGAGATCGAGACCATCCCGGTCAACATGGTGAAACCCCGTCTCTACTAAAAATACAAAAAATTAGCTGGGCGTGGTGGCGCGTGCCTGTAATCCCAGCTACTCGGGAGGCTGAGGCAGGAGAATTGCCTGAACCCAGGAGGCGGAGGTTGCGGTGAGCCGAGATCGCCATTGCACTCCAGCCTGAGTAACAAGAGCGAAACTCCGTCTCAAAAAAATAATAATAATGATAATAATAACTAGAAAAGAAAAACAATCTTCACAGCAACATCCAGAAAAACATTTAACCAAATACTGGGGCACCGTGGTCCACCCTAGTGCACTATAAAATCAGCCATCACCACGTGTCCATTCAGACCTCAGTTCAGTACCCATCACTGGCCACGGGAAGGGGTGCCCGGCCCTTGGGGCAGACAGACTCGTCCCTGCTGGCCAGGTGGTGCAGGAGGCGAAATGGTTCTGATCGGGTGAGCCTCCCTCCAGCGCAGCTCCCGAGATCCAGCCCGGAGGGGAGGGGTCTGCCCCCCATGAGGTGTCTGAGCCTTCCAGAAAGCTGACTGCTGAGGACAGACCTGAGCATTCAAAGCATTCTTTCAGGCTGAAGAAAGAGAAAGCCCTGGTTGAAGTGGTTTTCCTTTTATGAGTCGGTGCCAACCCCCAGCCCCGGAGGAGGGCAGTGATTCATCACGCCCCGTTTGATGTCGAGGAGGGGCCCCCACCGCCCCTTTGAATGTTGGGCCTCGGGGGAGCCAGGATTTGACCCTTCCCCACTCCCAATCCCGCCTGAGGTTTCACATCCCCAGCTCCAGCACGGCGACCAGAGCCACAGAGCCTCGGCAGCCACGATCTCGGGGCTCGGCAGCCCTCCGCGGCGGGCACTGGGGGTGGTGCCAAGGGGGCTGAGTGCTGGAGCCACGATGCCAGCTATTTTCATGGTCTGGAGGCTATTTCTGTCATCCAGGAGGGCTGCTTCCCAAGCAGAAGTCTAGAAAGCCGGCCAGACCCGAGTCATCACGGGCCGCAGCCGGCGGGCTCTCTTCATGGATATGAGCTTCCCCGCCGCTGCCCAGCTGGGCAAGACCCTTAAGCTGTCCCACAGGCTCCTGGCTGTTTGAGGGGCCCAGGTCCCAGGCATCCTTGGGGTCCAAAGGAGGACGAAGGATGTGGGATGCAGATGAACTGGCTGGGCGAAGCAGCTCACGCCTGTAACCCGGGAGTCTGAGACCAGCCTGGGCAACATAGTGAGACCCTCCTCTGTACAAGAAAATTATTCTAAAAATTCTGGCCAGGCCGAGTGCCATGGTTCACGCCTGTAATTTCAGCACTTTGGGAGGCCCAGGCCGGCGGGTCACCTGAGGTCAGGAGTTCGATACCAGCCTGGCCAACATGGCAAAACCCCATCTCTACTGAAAATACAGCAGTTACCCTGGTACGGGGGTAACAGAAACCCCGTCTCTACTAAAAATACAAAATTAGCTGGGCGTGGTGGTGGCACGTGGCTATAATCCCAGATACTTGGGAGGCTGAGGCGGGAGAATCACTTGAGCCCAGGAGGTGGAGGCTGCAGGCAGCTATGATCAGAGCACCGCCCTCCAGCCTGGGGACAGAGCGAGCGCCTGTCTCAAAAACAAACAGATGGGCCGGGCGCGGTGGCTCACGCCTGTAATCCCAGCACTGTGGGAGGCCAAGGCGGGCGGATCGCCTGAGGTTGGGAGTTCGAGACCAGCCTAACCAACATGGTGAAGCTGCGTCTCTACTGGAAATACAAAAAATTAGCCGGGCGTGGTGGCGCATGCCTGTAATCTCAGCTACTTGGGGCGCTGAGGCAGGAGAATTGCTTGAACCTGGGAAGCGGAGTTTGCGGTGAGCCGAGATCGCGCCATTGCACTCCTGCCTGGGCAACAAGAGCAAAACTCATCTGAAAGAAAGAAGGAAAGAAGGAAGGAAGAAAGAAGGAAGGAAAAAGGGAGGGAGGAAGGAAGGAAGGAAGAAGGGAGGGAGGGAGGGAAGGAGAGAGGGAGGGAGGGAAGGAAGGATGGAAGGAAGGAGGGAAGGAAGGAAGGATCACACACTGTGTGGCCTTCTGTGTCTGGCGTCTCTCGCTGAGCATGGGGTCCTTAAGATGTACTCACACTGTGACCTGTGTCAGAGCCGTGCCCCTTTTCCTGGCTGAGTAATATTCCAGGGTGCGGCTGGGCTATTTCTGCCTGTGGCCGTCGGGGATGGCGCTGCTGTGAACCGGGCGTGCGGCCTCTTCTTACGTCTCTCTCTGTTCCTTGTGCCGGATCACAGGTGTCCAAAGCAGCCTCTGACCTCATGAGCTACTGTGAGCAGCACGCCCGGAGCGACCCCTTGCTGGTCGGAGTCCCTGCCTCCGAGAACCCCTTCAAGGACAAGAAACCTTGTATTATTTTATAGCTGTGTTCTCATACGTGCCCGCGCTCTCTGTCTCTCTCTCTGTCTGTCTCTGTCTGTCTCTCTCTCTCTCTCTCTCTCTCTCTCTCTCTCTCTCTCTCTCTCAGGCGTTATTCAGTACGTAGCTGAAACAAAACATCTTGGGTCCCCAAAACATTTAATTTCAAAACAAATTCCCCCACCAAAAAAAAAAAAAAAAGGCATTCCCACTGCCGGGATGGGGTAGGATGTACCTTCTAGGTATAGATGGATTTTCAGCCCCAACCCCGTGGCCCTCTCAGTTCGGGCCTGGCCAAAAGCGGGTGGAGGCTTTACGGCCACTTCCCGTAGAACTCTCAATGGCTGTTTTGATTGTGGAGGAGACGCCGAGGGGAGAAGGGGGGTGAGTTTGCCCTGCGGCAGTCGCTCCGAGGCAATTGGCCATTTGTAAAAGGACTTCGCAGGGTCCTTGGCATGCCTTTCAATGTTTGTAAGTAGAGGTGACATTGAGGTTGGGGAGAACGTGACATCATACGTCATGACATCGTGAACTGTTTCGGAAAGATCTCGCCATTTAAAACATCGTTCCGGCTGAACTGGGATGGTGAGGGTCGAACCTGTCGCTAAACCATAATACCGTCATGTACGAAGGGGGTCGGTGGGGGCTTTGTCTATGAAAAGTTGCCAAGTGTCACTCCCCCGCCACGGGTCCTTTCTGCAGGGTCCCCTCTGTGCCAGAAATGGGTTTTTGGGACTTGCCCCAGGAGACTGGTCACCAGCCTGGCCCATCTTTTTTTTGTTTTTTGGTATTTCTTCCTTTTTTGAGATGGATTCTTGCTCTGTCGCCCAGGCTGGAGTACAGTTGTGCAATCTCTGCTCACTGCAGTCTCTGCCTCCCGGGTTCAAGTGATTCTCCTGCCTCAGCCTCCCGAGCAGCTGGGATCACAGGTGCCCGCCACCTCATCTGGCTGATTTTTCTATTTGTAGTAGAGACGGGGTTTCACCACGTGGGCCAGGCTGGTCTCGAACCCCTGACCTCATGATCCGCCTGCGTCAGCCTCCCAAAGTGCTGGGATGACCGGCGTGAGCCTCCCGTGCTGGGCTTGTTTTAAGCGCGAGGCGTCCGTGTGGCCGGGAGAGGCTTCCACTGTCCTTGGCTCTCCCGGTTTGTCCCACCTTCTTGCATCCACTGTGGACATTTTTCAAACAGAAATGCAGCCCGGGGAGCCGCAGCGGGTCGGAATGGGGAGCTACCCTGTGCTGCTGTGTGTACAGAGTTGTCACATGACCTTGAAGTGACTTTGAAGGACTCTGGGAGGTGAGACTTTTCGTCCCGGAGATGGAAACATCGGCTCAGAACATTCCCCTGTCGCTGGAACCCAACCTTCTTGCTTTTCCACCCCTGCAACCGAGAACAGCTGTCCGAGGCCGGGAGAGGCGACAGGTGCAGGACAGGTGACTCCTTGCAGCAGCCCATGGAAATGGAAGATGTCATGGGGTGGGGGCTGGGGGTGGGGGGGCTTCTGAAAGGTGACTGTGTCCTCTTCAGCGGCACGGACGGACGGGAGCAGGGGCAGCCACATCTGAGATGGATCCTGAGCGGCCAGAACCCAAGCAGCCCTGATCGCAGGAGGCCCAGCCACCCCGACCCCCTCCACGGGGCTGGCCCAGAAGCAGGTGGTGGAGAAAACTAGTCTACTTCTGTCCCTCCGACCCCGGTGGAAACTGGAGTCTAAGAACCTGTGCCCAGAGGGTTCCTGGACGGCCGCCCGGTCCTCTGTGCAGGCCCGTGGGACGGGGGTTCCCTGCTCACGGCCGGGGGCCCACCTCGCCAAGGCTCAAGGGCACACACAAGTCCGTGTGTGTGCAGGTGTCGGGGGGTGACCTCCACTCCCCAACCTCGGGCGGCCCCCATAGGCCACAGCCGGGCTTCCCCTGCCCGGCACCCAGCTCTCTACGGCCGGTCCGGGAGGGCTGGGGCTTCGGGGAGCCCTCCCCGGGCAAACCTGCGAGTTGGCCCAGGAGAGCTGCAGAGGCTCCCGGGAGACTGTGGCCTCCTGGGGTCGGGCTGGGAATTGGTGGGGCTCGGGGTGTGGGCGTCCCCACCACCCCTAGCAGTAATGGCAGGAAGAGACAAAAGCCGCCTCCACCCTTTCCAACGAGCCATCTTGGTACCTGGGAACACACGCACGCCACCCCGTTTTTCCTTAAAAAAGGCCTTAATCCCCAAGCCCCGCTCCCCGAAAGGGCAGAGGGAGGAGGGGGCACAGTTGTGCCAAGCCCGGCCCCACTTGCGTATCCTCACGATGCGACCCCAGAAATGCCAGCAGGGAATAGAGGCTGCTGCAGAGATACAACCTCCTCGGCTGCTGGAGGCGGTGGGTTAAACCCCAGCTTCCAGGGAGCTCAGCTCCAAAAGCCCTAAAGCCACGTCCTCCCACCCCGCACACTGGCCACTGCACAGAAGTCAGAAAGCCTGGGGTCCGAGCATTCCAGGTAAACCGAGGCTCGGGGAGGGGAAGGACAGGCTGGCCTCTCCTTCACTGTCCATGGGGCCTTGGCTTTCCTGAGCTGTCCAGACACACCGTCTCCCGGACCCCAGGGAGGCCCACCATGGCCAGAAACCTGTGGGTTTCTTTCTAGCTTGAGGGAAGAAAAATTCTCCATTTTTTTTTTTTTTTTTTTTTTTTGAGTAAATCTCAGTGACCACACTGTGGAAAATACCTTTGCAGATGCGACACCCAAGTGCACACGCCGACTGCTGCGTGGGCTTTTCCGCCGGGAACGCCTGGGGTGAACGCGTGTTTTATAGGCGTTTCCAGAAGCGTGGGTGCCCCTCCAGACAGGAAGCTGGCGGGCAGGGGTGGCAGCAGCCGCTCTAACCTTGGGGAGACCAGCGGCCCTCAGCCACGCCGGGAGGAGAGAGTTAATGACACTCACCCCCACCTGCGCGCACACGCGCGCACACACACACACACACACACACACACACACACGCAAGGCAGGGTTGGTGGGAGAGAGGAGGACGTTCTCCTTCTTCTGCAGCCTGGGTCTCCCACTGGCCTTCCCCTGCCCTGAGCGAGACACCAGGTGCCAGGTAAAGGGCCACACCTGGCCGGGCCCCCACTCGATCATGACCCACCTGGCCTTCCGGGGATGCTGAGCTCAGCCCGTCCTTCCCGGACCAGCTCAGCCTCCCCTGCCCTCCTCTCTCCAGTAAGGAGCCAGACCACACATCCCACCGTCCCCAGGGTAACCCCAGGCCAAGCGCAGACGGCTCAGCTGTGACCTTGGGCCTCTGGGGCACCAACTGGGTAGCTGGCTCAGGGTGGAAGGTGCTCCTCTTCCCCTTCTCCGTGGTCCCTTCCACGGGCCGGCCACCATGTCCAGGGGGCACAATGCGGGGCCTCCGGCCACGCAACCATCTCCAAGCTAACAGCCCCTGTCCTGCCCCAGCTCTGGGACAGGCAGGAGGGGGCCATCACAGCCCCGCCCGTGCGTGAGTGACCCCAGAGGCGGCTTCCGGGCCGAGGCAGAGCCACCAGGCCCTTCCTCCGGGAGCCACTTATTAAAACGTCCACCACGACCCGAGGCCGGCCCTCCGCACAGAAGCCATACGCGGGCCCCCTGCGCCGCCTTCTCTGTCCGCGGACACCGCTGCCGATCTGACCTTTGTAAAGACCCGTCTGTTTCCCCGCCGCCTGTGGTTCCAGCAGGTTCTATGCCGTCTGCACTGGGATGTCCGGTTGTTTCTATTTCTGAACTTTTTAAAACTTGCAGGCGTGCCACACCCACTTTCTCACAGTGTTTGAATATTGTGTGGAACTGTTGATGCGACGTGAATTCATACACAATAAAAAGCCTCATTGCCCTTTGCTCCTGGCCCTGGACTGTTCCTTCTCCCCCTGGCCGGGTGGGAGCTCCCGGCTTGCGAGCAGATGCCCCGGGCTTGGCTCCAATTATGCTGACCCACCGCGGCCCCACACCATCCCGACCACCCTCCCTTCACCAGTCCCGGGAAGAGGGAACAGGAGGGGATCCCTGGGGACAGCACCACCAACCAGGACCGCGCAGGCCCCCACGGACTTTCGGATTTGTAGTTAGAAAATCTAGGAGGGGCGGGGCGCGGTGGCTCAGGCCTGTCATCCCAGCACTTCGGGAGGCCGAGGCGGGCGGATCACGAGGTCAAGAGATCGAGACCATCCTGGCCAACATGGTGAAACCGCGTCTCTATTAAAAATACAAAAATTAGCTGGGCATGGTGGCGCGTGCCTGTAATCCCAGCTACTCAGGAGGCTGAGGCAGGAGAATTGCCTGAACCCAGGAGGCGGAGGTTGCGGTGAGCCGAGATCGCGCCATTGCACTCCAGCCTGGGAAACAAGAGCGAAACTCCATCTCAAAAAAAAAAAAAAAAAAAAAAGAGATCAAGACCATCCTGGTCAACATGGTAAAACCCCGTCTCTATTAAAAATACAAAAATTAGCTGGGCGTGGTGGCGCGTGCCTGTAATCCCAGCTACTCGGGAGGCTGAGGCAGGAGAATTGCTTCAACCTGGGAGGCGGAGGTTGCAGTGAGCCGAGATCGGGCCGCTGCACTCCAGCCTGGCAACAGAGCAACAGAGCAAGATTCTGTCTCAAAAAAAAAAAAAAAAAAAAAAATTAGCTGGGTGTGGTGGGGTGCACCTGTAATTCCAGCTGCTCCAGAGACCGAGGCAGGAGAATGGCTTGAACTCGGGAGACGGAGGTTGCAGTGAGCTGAGATCACACCCTTGCACTCCCGCCTGGGCGACAAGAGGGAAACTCCCGTCTAGAAAAGAAAAGAAAAAAGAGAAAGTGGGAAGAAGGGGAGGGGAAAAGAAAAGGTCCCTCCGAGCTCCCTCAGGCCCACGCATCCGCAGCTGAGGCACATCCTCCAAACGTCCAGGCACATGCCAAAGCTGGCATCGGAAGAGAGCAGTGACAGTAAGTGACATGGATGGTTCATTTCCTTGGCTTGTGTCATCTGAGCCTCCGGGAAACGCTGTGAGGTAAGAGCTATGGTCACAGGCACTGATTGTGCAGACGGGTAATCGCGGGTTCACAGAGGGTAACAACTCCCTCCGGTCCACAGCTAGAAAGTGGCGCGGCCAGGACTGGCCAGAATCTTCAGCCACGCCGCAGGGCTCCGGCACACGCGCCCCAGACCGTCTCCTCTCCTGGGGGTCGGCGCTGCTGCTTCGTACCCACACCTGCCATTTCTTTTCCAAAACTGGACCCCCTCAACACGGATCGCTCTGATTCTGACTTCGCTTTTTTTTCCACTTAAGTCCCTGTGACCCACAACTTGGTAAGTCAGTGTGTTTTTTTGTTCATTTGTTTTTTGTTTTCTTTTTTTTTTTGAGACGGAATTTCACTCTTGTCACCCAGGCTGGAGTGCAATGGCGCGATCTCGGCTCACCGCAACCTCCGCCTCCTGGGTTCAGGCAATTCTGCCTCAGCCTCCCAAGTAGCTGGGATTACAGGCACGCGCCACCGTGCCCCGCTACTTTTTGTATTTTTAGTAGAGATGGGGTTTCACCATGTTGACCAGGCTGGTCTCGATCTCTTGACCTCGTGATCCACCCGCCTCGGCCTCCCAAAGTGCTGGGATTACAGGCGTGAGCCACCCCACCCGGCAATTTCTTTTTTTTTTTTTTTTGAGATGGAATTTCGCTCTTGTTGCCCAAGCTGGAGTGCAATGGCACAATCTCAGCTCACCACAATCTCTGCCTCCCTGGTTCAAGTGATTCTCCTTCCTCAGCCTCCCAAGTAGCTGGGACTACAGGCATGTGCAAAAACGCCTGGCTCATTTTGTAATTATAGTAGAGATGGGATTTCTCCCTGTTGGTCAAGCTGGTCTTGAACACCCGACCTCAGGTGATCCACCCACCTCGGCCTCCCAAAGTTCTGGGATTACAGGCATGAACCACTGGACCCAGCTGAGTCATTTAATTTATATAGTTACTGGGGCACGGTGGCTCACACCTGTAATCCCAGCACTTTGGAAGGTGGAGGCGGGAGGATCACCTGAGGTCAGGAGTTCGAGACCAGCCTGGCCAACATGGTGAAACCCCGTCGCTACTAAAAATAAAAATTTTTTTTAAAATAGATGGGCGTGGTGGCGCGTGCCTGTAATCTCAGCTACTCAGGAGTCTGAGGCGGGGAATTGCTTGAACCCGAGAGACGAAGGTTGCAGTGAGCGGAGATCACGCCATTGCACTCCAGCCTGGGTAACAAGAGCGAAACTCGGTCTCAAAAAAAAAAACCACGGCCGGGTGCGGTGGCTCACGCCTGTAATCCCAGCACTTTGGGAGGCTGAGGCGGGTGGATCACGAGGTCAAGAGATCGAGACCATCCTGGTCAACATGGAGAAACCCCGTCTCTACTAAAAACACAAAAATAAATAAATAAAATGAAATAAAGTTTCTTTCCACACTAAAGAAAGGATGAAAGGGCCGTTTACAGGCAGCAGACATACAGTCCTTATCTAAGCAGAGAGTCTATTTATCCATTTGTTTATTTATTTATTTATTTTTCAAACAGAGTCTCACTCTATCACCCAGGCTGGAGTGCAATGGCGCGATCTCCGCTCACTGCAACCTCCGCCTCCCGGGTTCAAGCGATTCTCCTGCCTCAGCCTCCCGAGTAGCTGGGATTACAGGCGTGCACCACCACGCCTGGATAATTTTGTATTTTTAGTAGAGACGGGGTTTCTCCATGTTGGCCAGGCTGGTCTTGAACCCCTGACCTCGTGATCCACCCGCCTCGGCCTCCCAAAGTGCTGGGATGACAGGCGTGAGCCGCCGTGCCCGGCCATGAGCAGAGGCTTTATACCTGTCTGTGGCCCACTGCCAGCCTCCAATCCCTCCCACTGGGATCGTCCCTTGTCCAGGAACCTTGCCTGCTGACCAGTCCATGTGACTCCTCCTACAAAGTCGTCCAGACAATGACCGGCACCGGAGCCCAGGCAGCCAGTGAGGCAGGCTCAGCATTCATTCTTCACGCCCCCGTCCCCCTCCAGGGAACCAAAAAAGAGAAAAAAAATTCCTAGACTGGGTGCGGCGGCTCACGCCTGTAATCCCAGCACTTTGGGAGGCCGAGGCCGGCGGATCACCTGAGGTCGGGAGTTCGAGACCAGCCTGGCCAACATGGAGAAACCCCGTCTCTACTAAAAATACAAAAATCAGCCAGGTGCGGTGGAGGGCACCTGTAATCCCAGCTACTCAGGAGGCTGAGGCAGGAGAATCCCTTGAACCTGGGAGGCGGAGGTTGCAGTGAGCTGAGGTCACGCCATTGCACTCCAGCCTCAGGGACAAGAACGAGACTTCATCTCAAAAAAAAAAAAATCCCACGAGGGGCTCCCCGTGGGTGGCCGAGTCAGGCTCTGCTCTGTCTGCAGCGCACTTGCGGCTGATTTGCAGAAGCCGGCACATGGTTTACAGTGGAAAGAGTGAGGTAGGGCCTCGCTGGGGAGCCGGCCCTGAGAATGTGCCGCTCTTTCTTGCCAAAATTTATCACTCTGGGAAGAACTCCAAGCTAAGGTTGAGAAAGAAACGTTTCCTCTGTTCAGAACGCACTCTGTCAGCTTACGCCAAGGCAGGCCAGGGCACAGCGGGGGTAAGAGACAGCTGACAGGCGTCCGACCTAGACCCTGGCTCCGCCTCTCACTCGACAGCACCTGCTCTCATCCCTAGGACTTTCTTTCTTTCTTTTTTTTTTTTATTTTTTGAGACGGAATTTCGCTCTTGTCACCCAGGCTGGAGTGCAATGGCGCGATCTCGGCTCACCGCAACCTCCGCCTCCTGGGTTCAAGCAATTCTCCTGCCTCAGCCTCCCTAGTAGCTGGGATTACAGGCACGCGCCACCATGCCCAGCTAATTTTTGTATTTTTAGTTGAGACAGAGTTTCACCATGTTGACCAGGATGGTCTCGATCTCTTGACCTCGTGATCCACCCGCCTCGACCTCCCAAAGTGCTGGGATTACAGGCGTGAGCCACCGCGCCCGGCCATCCCTCGGACTTTCACGGGTAATCCCAGGTCTTCCAACGGTGTCTGTCTATGATCAGTCAATGAGGAATTACACTTGGAGCAGCAATGGGATTCTGGAGCAAGGAGTAGTGACTATTCTCGCTTCTAAAGCCTCAAATCCTGGCCGGGCGCGGAGGCTCATGCCTGTAATCCCAGCACTTTGGGAGGCTGAGGCAGGCGGATCACGAGGTCAGGAGTTCAAGACCGGCCTGACCAACATGGTGAAACCCCGTCTCTACTAAAAATACAAAAAATTAGCTGGGCACGGTGGCGCGTGCCTGTAATCCCAGCTACTCAGGAGGCTGAGGCAGGAGAATTGCCTGAACCCAGGAGGCGGAGGTTGCGGTGAGCCGAGATCGCGCCATTGCACTCCAGCCTGGGTGACAAGAGCGAAACTCCGTCTCAAAAAAAAGAAAAAAAACGAATGGCCAGATATGGTGGCTCACACCTGTAATCCCAGCACTTTGGGAAGCTGAGGCGGGCAGATCACTGAGGCCAGGAGTTCAAGACCGGCCTGACCAACATGGAGAAACCCCGTCTCTACTAAAAATACAAAATCAGCTGGGTGTGGTGGTACATGCCTGTAGTCCCAGCTACTCAGGAGGCTGAAGCAGGAGAATCACTTGAATCCAGGAGGCGGAGGTTGCGGTGAGCCGAGATCTCGCCATTGCACTCCGGCCTGGGTGACAAGAGCAAAACTGCATCTGAAAAAAAAAAACCTCTGTGTTGTTTTCAGCCGCTAGGTTTGCAGTGAGGAAACTCACGCGGTGCCACAGATGCTTGCCGCGTGAGTGAGGGCGCGGGTGAAAGAATGCCGAGCAGCTGTGGAA